CTGATCAACCCCGCCCCGATGCTCCAGGCATGCTGGTTCTGTTGCCCTGCCCTAGGCAAGCATGTAAGGCATTTTTCCCCTTGCCTGGGGCAGGTCATACCCCAGTACCCCCATCTGTCTTGCCCTGTACTACAATATATAACCCCTAGTGCCTGCCATGTGGTGCGCAGGATATCCATGACTCGCCTTGCCACTGCCCAAGATGCACCTTGTGATATAATGCTGGAGTGAGTTGTCAATCTCTTTAGACTCCCAACCCTGGGAAATTTTAACAAACAGAATCCCAGAATCCCTCTCTTTAAAAAACGCAAAACTCTAATTTATTTGGAAATCAGCAGTGTATAATAAAAAGAGCACTGAAATCTAGTGATATACATGTTCTTTTTCTCATCCTGTCTTTGCTAAAACAGACTTATGATCTGAAACATGTTGCTCACCCTTTCTGAGACCATTTCCTCAGTTCAAAAAAGGTGGGTCAGACAAAAATCTAAGATCCTTCTGGTCTTAAACTTTAAGTTAAAAGCTCAGGACTTTCAATTTCAAAGTTAACTCACACACCTCTCCAAGCATGTTGCTATACAAGACTTTGAAGACTTCATAAAAGCCAAACTTGCAAAGGCCCTGCATAGAGTAGCCAATGAAAGTTGGAGCCCATCCTTTAGCCAAACCACGAACACCATCCTCTTTAAGTGTAACTGAGAATCCATTAAATATGCCCTTGTACTTCTGGGGGTCCACCTATATTTAAAACAAGAAAAACAAAAGTAATTAAATGTACCAAAGAGCTAACATTCTCATACATATTTAATTTTGTTATTAGTTTTTCCTTCTGGTTCTAAAATAAACTTCAATAAGTACAAAAAAGGTAAACACAAGCTCATGCATATCACGTTAATATCTATAATTATCTTTGTGAATGTAACTTTTTGTACTTTAAGGTCTAGCTTTTAGTTAGATTTAATTCTTGGAGGGTTAGTTAAAATGGTAAAATTCCTACAAAAATACATGATAAAACTGACTAACGAATATTTACCCAACTGTACCACTTTTGAAAAATTAATTTTAAAGCTACCGCCTATGGCCGGCCAAGGGGTGCACTGGTTAAGAGTTGGCTTGGGAGTGCCAGCTCTGAGCAGCAGGGCCCCGGTTCGGATCCCGTGAAGGCCAGTGACACTGCGCCCTCTACAACTAAGATGGTGAACCGCTCGACCTGGAGCTGGGCTGCCGTGAGGCGACAGCACAGGTTGCAGTGGGGCAGCAGTAGGCTGCCATAAGCTACCGTGAGTGGCCAGCAGCCAGCGTGAGCAGCTGTCCAATGGCCAGCGAGCGACTGCCTCACCCAGGAAGAGCGCAATGATCATAATACCAACATGGGCCAGTGAAGCAACGTCCTCCACAACTAGACTGAAGAACAAAAGGACAGCAACCTGTCTGTTCCCCTTCCCCAATTCCCCAATAAAACCTTAAAAAAAAAAAAAAAAAAGCTACCACCTAAATAATAGATAAATCTACAGGTATACCTTGGAGATGTTGCGGGTTCGGTTCCAGACCACCGCAATAAAACAAATTATCACAATAAAGCAAGTCACACAAATTTTTTTGATTTCCCAGTGCATATAAAATTTGTTTACACTATACTGTACTCTATTAAGTGTGCAATAGCATTGTCTAAAAAAAAGTACATACCCTAAACAAAAAATACTTTACTGCTAAAAATGCTAACCATCACCTGAGCTTTCAGTAAGTCATAATCTTTTTATTGGTGAATGGTCTTGCCTTCATTTAAAAACAAACAAACCCCCACCCCCAATATCTACTAAGCATAATAAAGTGGAGTGCAATAAAGCGAGGTATGCCTACATATCTGTAGCCATGCTACAGGCTAGCCTATTAAGTAGATTATACCATAAAGTTTTGTGACCTTAAGACAATCAAACTAAACACAAATTAAAAAGGTACATCACCATAAGAATCTGTCTTTTGACTTAAATTCACTTCAACAGACATGCATGAGAATTTTAGCGAAGATACATTTCATATCCATTCTATTAACTAAATGGGAAAATATATTCTCATTATTTCTGCCAGTACTAGAGGGCTGGTATACATCACCTTCCTCTCCCTGCTAATATTTCACCTTCCTTTCTCTTTTAGTAAGGAGACGTCTAAATCTGTTTAGAACAAATAAATGTTGAGGTTTGATTATTTTTGTTACAATAATCCTAATTAAGATATTCTGATTGTAAAAAAACTCTTATGTAAGTGAATATACAAGCCATACCCACAAATACTAAGATACTGAGTCTATTTTTTAATCTACATAGTGCTCTGTGCCTTAATCAATAAGAGATGTACAGTTACTTTACATACTACACAAAGAATGATTACCCACTCGCATATGTAACTGCTCATAAAGTGACTATTTGGAGCATAAAGAACCAGTAGGCCTTAAAAAGAACTCTAGCCAGAATTCACCCCAACAGCGAAAACATTTATAGCCAGAATCTGAGCGCCAACAATCTACCCACACTCTTATTTTAAAAGAGGCAGTTCTTAGATTTAAAACACTAAAATAAAGATCATGAGTTGAAATAATTCAGGTTTGGTTTCCTACTAAAGTTTCTAGTAGTTGTGATATCTTCAAATTCTTCTCATTTGTTAAGTCCTTCAAGATTATTTGGAATTAAATCACACACAAAAGATACGTTCAACGTTGTTATCTCAATACAAACCTGCATTCGGCATTTCACTAAATCCAGAGGAACGACAGCAGTGTGTGTCAGACCACAACTTAAGACCCCACCAAAGCCACACAGTGCATAAAACTTCATGGAGCCATATTCACAACTGTACTCTGTAATAAGACAAGACACACCATGCATTTTAATATAAACCTCATGTTACTGGTTATCAACTTACCTCCTGGATAGTTAGGTTTCCACACAGCTTGTTAGTAGATGACTACATCTTATATCTTAACAGCCATGCTTCAACAATACGCTTTATTTAGTCCAACATGCAAAACAAACCTGCATTCTGCATTTAATCAGATCTAGAGGAACCAATGCTGTATGTGTTGTGCCACAGCTAATAATTCCTCCAAGTCCACAAAGGATAAAGAATCTGCCAGATCCATAGTCACAGCTATACTGCTCTGTTTGATTGAAAAAAAAAAAATCAAGTAAGTATTTCTTCAGAGAAGACTAAGGCCATGGGACTAAGAACTATGCTTCCCTGTGAAATAGTGCTGTCAAAACTGAACAGCTTTGGCCACTTGTTTACAATTAAGTTGAAAGATGTAAGTTTTCTTCCTAGTGCAAGTAACAAGAAATTCACTGCCAAAAAAAAAAACAAAAAACAATCATTTAAAAGATTATGAAGGTTCTACCTCTGAGATAGTAGCTATCTTTTATACCATATTAATAAAAAAATTATCATTTTCTATATTAATGGCTTTTCCAATTAAAATCAAATTTCAAATTATTAATCGCTGATAACACACTTCAGAGTACAAACTTCTAGGTTTACCCCAGCCACTAACCACTACTATCCCCACATACGCATAAAACCAGAGAAACAAATTCCTGCAGTCAAATACATTTACTACATAAATGACGTTAGCTTTAACTTTCTAAATGGGAAGACAGAATGCTGATGCAAGGATTTTTTTATCCACATAAAGGCATTAACAGAAACACATACATGATTTTAAAAACGCAAACAATTTTACAGGCACAATGTAGATAACATTTTTAGGACTCCTACCAATTCGGTTTTCTGGTTTCTCTGTATGTACACCTCACTGGGGTTTGAAATACGCACAATTCGGTTAAAGTTGGGTCTAACCACCAAGAACCCGAAGAAATAAGACCAAAGGGATCCTTGCCAATTATCTTCTTTCTACGGCCATCTGAGGCTGCAAGTCGCCTCCTTCACCCACAGTATTAAAACAAGAGACCCAACTGGGTCTCATATACCTTGGGTCAACTAATATTAGACTTCGGAAATACCTAAGGGAGGAGGGAGTATTTTTAAGAAAAAAAATTCAAGCCAAGTCAAAGAACAGATAATACAGTTAAAACTGCAGGTGACCAGTGGTCAGGAAGGAGGCTTTACCCAATACTTAAGTCTGCTGACCAAGCGGGCTCAACGCACAGAAGATAAGGAGCTACTCAAGGCCTCTATGCCGCCACTCCCTCGAGGACGTGGAGGTCACGGAGGGAACTGGGCCTCGGCCCTTTCCACGCCCTTGAGGGCCAAGGATCCCACACCCGGCCTAGGGTGAAAAGGGCTGACATGGTCCGTCAAGCAACCGAGGCCGTCCTGCGGTGCAGCGGGCCGGGCGCGTCCTTCCCTGTCCTCCAGGCCATCAAGGCCAAAAAGACCACTAGTGGACATAACGACCGTATCCGGGCAGGGTCGGACCTCACCTTCCACAGCTGCGGCTGCCAGGTTGCGGGAGCGGCGGGGCGGGTTCGGGGACCCGACGGGGCTGCTGCAGGGGCCCGCAAGGCCATCGTGCACGAGCTGCAGGTGGGGCGCGTTGAAGGGGTTCGCCCGCGCCAGGTGCGCCACGGACGAGAACATCTTCCTAGGGGAAGAGAGACCGGCAGTCAGAGAAAAGGCAAAGGGAGCCGTCAGACCGGCCAAAGTCAACGGCACCCTGGGACCTCGATCCAGGCCTTCCTTTTCCCGCCTCCGCGTCCTTGAGGAGGTCACGGCAAAAGAGGAGGCTGCCCGGGCCTACAGCAAAAGCATCGTCCCACAGCGGGTCCGCGCTCCGCTCCCTGTACCCGCTGCGGGGAAGGCCAGACCACACTCACTCCCTAAGATGGCGAACACCAACGCTCCTTGGAAAGGCTGCGGCTCACAGAGACCGAATGTCCTCCGAGCCCTCAGATCTGTGCCCTTCGTGCGTCGTCAGCGTGACGTACACAGCGAGTCACTACAAGCAGGCGGCACCCATTGGCGGAGAAAAGCGCCGCGGGAGAAACGTCATCGCGTTCTCCTAGCAACCCTACCCCCGCCCCCTCCGCCCCAGCCCTTCCGGCCCGGCTTCTGCGCAGGAGGATTCGTCCTGCGCAAGCGCGCATCGTGGGCAGAGTTTTTGAGTGGAGTGGTTCATATGCTTGTGACCTCCGCTTTTTGTCCCTTCACCTTGAAGAGTTTCTCCTTGACGCCAGGGCTTCAGTTCTTTACCTTTAAGTGAGTCCCAGTAATAGTAGTCGTTTTAAAAAAAATTCGAATGCTCTATGTTATCATTTTGGTGTTGCGGTTAGAATGTCACTGCACTGTTGTGTGTCACAACTTCTGTCATTATGGTACATTATTTTTTAGTTTCATCCATTCATATTACACGTAGACATGTCTAAGTTTTTCATCAGACTTCAGGAGAGTATTTTGAAAGGAAATGGGCAGCAAGAACTCTTTAAGATAGACAACTTGCTGCTTCATTACAATAGCTTATATAACATTAAAACTTTAAATAAATACTTTTTCACCCCTGGGGGTCCAGTGATGAACTACAGTAAAAATGATGGGCAGCAGATGTTTCGTTTTTAATGAAGTTAGAAAATCTTCGTTAGAGTCAGTTAAGCAGAGAAGGGCCTACTTTAATTTGAGTTTAGTTGGGGGTCACACCTTAGAGGAAAGAGTGAAGATATGGAATATATACTATGGAGTCTTTTTAACCAAGCTGCTAAAATTAACATTATGAAGGTTGAGGCATGAGGAACTGATTCAATTCTTGGGATCAAGCTTGGGAACTTAAACTTCTGAACTTTCCAGTCCTGTGTTCAGATACATGTATCTGGACATACACCAGACTTCTGATTATACCTGGAAGGACTCAAGTATCCAGGACCTGACATCCACCTGACATCCAACATTCAGACTGCCTGATATTTGACTGATAATCAGCTGGGACCAATCCTAGAGTTAAGACTGTAGGGTGATAATTCTCCAGAATGTACGTTTTACTAAAAGAACTCTTTTCTTTCTTCTACACTTATGAGGTATTGCCTAGCAAAACTCCCAGTTTGCAGACTCTTAATACTGTTGATTAAATATCATTCATTTCTGGTAAAAGCCTCCAGACTCTTTTTGGGATCGTTCCACACCTCTGTTAGCATTCTGACTCTGACATTTTCCCAGCTCTTGATAAAGTAACCTTGGGAATTTACTTGATTTGTATGAAACTGTTTCTTAAATGTAGGATAGAAGCAGTGCCAGCCTCATGGGCTTGCCACCTGTACAGTCACATAGCACCCTGTGCTTGGTTTAATGCTCTACTGTTATCATTTTGAAATTCTTAATAATTTATGAATATGTTAAAAAACAAAATTCAACCAAGTAAATCTGAAGATCTAATTGGCTCTATTAAGTGACTTATGAATCCGACAGCATCTCATCTAGCAATTAGAAGGGCGCTTTGAGGGGTTGTACAAAATGGAAAATTTTTATATGAAGAAGTGTGGGCAAGAGAGCTATTAACAAAAGAAAAGAATTATTTTTAGAGCAGGGTATCTTCTTTTGGGGTAAAAGAAAAGGCAAGGTTTTTATACTGCAGATTGCCTCTTCTTTGGGTGAAGGCTGGGGAGTAGAGAGGACCCATGTGACAGATTACCTTACTGTTGCTTGACCAGAAAATTCCAGACTGGTTAAGATTACATTCCTGGGAGAGGCTGAAACTGCAATTGGACCAGGTATTAAATCTAGGTTTGGTATCATGGACTTTTAGCATGAGTGACGCCATTTCGGGCTTGTGGTTTTCTTTTTAACAAACAAGAGGCCCTGCATTTTGCATTTTGCATTGAGCCCTGTAGATTTTGTAGCTGTAACTAGATGGGAGTAATACCTATCTTGAAAAGTTTGTAAGAACTCGATAAGATGATTTCTACAAGTGGGGATGTTTAGCCAAGGAGCAGGTTTGGGGAGGGGATCAGTGATGGGAAATTACTAAGAGGGTAGGGTAATTCTTGCTAAATTGGCCTAACAGGATTCTTGATGAAGGTAATCAGATATCACTTGGTAATCAGATATCACTTGGGGGATGAGGAATTTGATCAGATATCAAGGTTGAGGGATTCTGGCTTAACTGACTTGACAGAATTCTTGTTAACACTTGGGCTCTTCAAGGATATTCCCATGGACAGGCCTGGTGGAAAAGGGGCTTAAAGGAGCCTAACTAGTGTTTGGTCAAGGAGAGTCTCTTACCTTCTAGGATCCCCTGCAGTGGGTTCCAGAAGCAATGGGAGGTGTTGGCAATTGCTCTTGAGGATCAACAGACCCTGCAAGACAATTAACTCAAGGAGGCCATTACAGATTTTACAGGTAAGGAGAAACTAGGCTTCTCTGGCAAAGGAGGAAGGGATATTTCTACTGGCAAAGGAGGCTCAGCAGAATTTATGGGTTCATGATCCCAGTGTCCTCTGAATCTGCCCATATGTTCCCGTTCAGTTGTTCAGAGTCTCACTGCTGCTCAAAAAAAAAGAAAAAAAGCCCTAACTTGAACATAAAACCTGTAAGATTGGGAATCCAATTGCATTGTAATTCAGAATTAGATTTTGGGTTTGGTTTTTAGAAATTACAGACTTGCAGATACAGGAAGGCAGTCATATAAATTTTATGGTCGTTTATCTCATTTTGAACTGAGACTTTAAAGCTCTGAGCTCATCAACTCCTTTCCTCCAGTTATTAAACATAATTAGGAGACACCAACTAACTCCACTGTAGTCTTTATTTCCATTTAAATGTTCTATGGACACATCTACTTGGTAAAACCTTGCCTTCTTTAGACATTTGATTACAGGTGTCTACAAGTGATAATTTTTTGTTAATGCATGCCATGGACAACCAGGATCACCTTTATTATTGACAACTGGTCATCAGTACCTTTAAATCCAATCAGATCAGATAACCCAAATTTAGAGAACCCATTATTAACATTTAGTTCTCCTGGAATTACTTCCAGTACCATGTCTGTATCAGAGTTTGACTGGAGAAGCAAAACCAGTATGAGTCATATGGAATAAAAGATTTATTGTAGGGATTAGTCCTAATGATATTGTGAGAGCTGGAGAAAATATTGCCCTTTTGTCTGGGTTAGACCTTAAAATGGTGTAAGTCCACAGGAGAGCTGGACATGAAGTGGGGGTGAACAGGGACAAAACGGCACCCACAAAGATTCCCTGAAGATAAACTAAGCTGTGCATCTGTCTCTTGGCACCTCCAGCATTGATGGTTCAGGTACTTATAGGAGCCATGGTGCTGTGCAAGCATCTGGCCCAGGACTCAGAGAAACTGAAGAAGAAGGTCCAGGAGTTGTGAAAGAGCTCCACACCTGGCCACGGCCCCACTCCAGGGTGAGCCAGCAGATCAACAACAATGTGTATGAGCTGCCATAGCACCTCATGTCCTATACTGACCTTCAGAATGTAATGACTGCTGCTTCACTTCTGCCTTTGAATCTTGCACAAATTTCCCGCGTGGCCCATCCTAACCCAGAACCATATTTGGGGAATAAACAGAATTTAAGATGCTAGAGAGACAGGAAATTCAAGTGGAACTTTCCATCTGGCATTTGTAAACTGGGATCTAGAGGTCAAGTTTGCATTTAGATTTGAGGATCATCCCTTTCGTGGGGATGCACAAGAAAACCCTTAAATAATTCCTAGCACCACCATGGAATAGAGGGATATAATGAATTATGCAAAGGAGACTACAGTCCCTTTTCATGTCTGCCCTGAGGAAAAAAGAATAACATCCACTTAGCTGTTTTTTATTATAAATCCTGTTTTGTTTTGTTTTGCATGTCCCTATAAATAAAGTAGGGAGAAATTTATCCCATTGTATCTGAAATAAGATTAAAAACAGACTTCGCCATGGGGACATAATTTTCATTTTGGAAAGTTTTAAAAGGTCAAACCACCCCCATTCTTCTTTGAAAGGATATCGTAGGTTGAGCCTAGAATACCTTGGCTGTAAGGTTAGGGGTGACCACTTTACCAAAGTGTACCCCAAGAGAGCAGACCCAGCTCTGAGGCTCACGTTCAGACTCGAAGTCACCCACCTTTGTTCAGGGGGTTGAAAACTGAAAGTTATACATGAATATTAAGGGACATTGTATTTTATAGGAAATAAATGGCAGCTGAATTATTTCACCCAGTCTTTATCTCTTGACATTTTGAAATTTCCTTCTTTCTGAAATTAAAAGAATAAAATCTGGTTTGGCCCAGAAAGGAGAGGCATCCCTAGATAAGGCAGACCCTAAAATAGTCCACATAGAAGGTACACACACACATGTGATAACTTTAGTCACTCACTGGCTACAATCCATCACCTGGACAGCTTTTATATGAGGCCTGTCCATCACAAGTTAGAGCGTCCCAAATTGGGTTTCTCATCAAAGAACCTGGGGCATTTTTTTGGACTCATGTTCTCAGGCCTGAAAAGATTCTACTTAAGGAGTCCTGGAATCTGCCATTTTTTAAAGATCCCCAGTTGATTCTTATAAACAACCAGGTTTAGGAACCTATGCTGTAAGGAACCCAAAGATAAACATGAGCCTGACGCTAGTTTCCCCTCTGTAAACTGAGACAATATCCTGAATTACCTGGTTTGCCATGGATACAACGTGCTTAGTTACTAGAAAGGATCCCTGCTGATCTGGTTTGATCATATGCAAGAGCGAGGTGCTAGGCTGTGGTGAAGGTAACTTCTTAAGAGAAGTATAAAAGGAGACGGAACTATCAGCTGCTTAAAAATGGACACAGCCACGGGCTTGGTAACATACAGGAGATTTTAGGGAGAAATATGTACACCTGAAGAACAGTAAATATGAAAAATAATGAATATAAAATAAAGTCATTAGGTTTTGCTAAAAAGAGTAGAAATAGTTCCATTCATCCGTAGAGACATGGGACAGAGTATACCCAATGCCTAAGTTTCTGTTTGTTTATGCCCTGGGTCATTATGAACTGAAATTTTTTTTAATTTTGTCATAATTCAAACCTCATCCCACTAATGATATTTTCTGCTGTAGATACTAAGGGGCCTGCTCACAAATGAACACAATTTAGGGCAATTGCAGTCAGCCCTAACTGAAATTAAAATTTGCAAAAATAATGAAACTTCAGGAAAAAAATGTTACATCTTTAAACTTGGAGAGTAGTCAATGTGGAAGGAATAGCCTAAGGGAATCAAACATATTCTTTAGAGAACAACAACTTCAAATATTAGTGGAATTTACTGACTTTATTCTTCTGAGAGAAACTAAATATTGCTGTTACACAATTACAGTTAACCTACATAACACTAGCAATTACTTAAATTACACAAATGAATCTTCTGAGTTATGTGGACAAGTTTCAGTCATAAACATTAAGAACGCTTATACCTTATTTTGCCATGCCCTGGTCCTGTTGGCTACTTGTAGTCATTGTTTTTCTAAGACAGTCTCCCAATTAGGTCCAGTCTTTCAGAAGGTATCTAAGCATCCTTCCTTCTTGCCCATTTGCCAATATACTCGTATATTAAAACTGCTTTATATAATAGTAATCTAGACAACTTAAGAGTTTTTGGAACACCATTCACTCTAAGAAATACTAAAATAAAAACAAGGCAAAATAACATCACATATCAAAAAATTGTTGAAATTTTTGAGATATTTCATTAACACAGTGGATTGAGGATAGTAGAAAAAGATCATAGCCATGTTTTGACTGTTAAAATGTCTGATGTAGCATGATTGTTAAAATATATAAATATGTATAAGAAAAATAGAAGTATCTTAGTATAATAATTTTTTTAAAACAATGTAATAGCAAGGTTAGGCTAGGCTAGTCTTTTTTTAATTAGTTTATTGGGGTGACAATTGTTAGCAAAGTTACATGATTTCAGGTGAAAATTCTGTAATACATCATCTATATATCACATTGTATGTTCACCACCCAGAGTCAGTTCTCTTTAGGCTATCTATTTTTAAATTACTTAAAATCTGTTGGACACCTAGTTTAGGAGGTACTGGGACTATTTCCAAAGCTTTGTCTTTGGCCTATTTTCTTTTACATTGTCTTCTCAGGGATCTCCTTTAGTCCCATGGAAATTAGCTTTCATTCTTTATGAATATATTTTCAATATTTTATTTTTTAACATTTTCTGGGTTTGTTTACTTTTTTTAATTTGAATTTTAAATTTACAGAAAAGATTCAAGAATAGTGCAAAGAATGTCTATGTACCCTTTACTCAGGTTCCCTGATTGTTGACATTTTGCCACATGTGCTTTATCATTCTGTCTCTTGCATTAATTTTTATACACACACGTATAGAGAGAAAGACACACACATATATAATACATTTGCATGTATGGATATATAGATTACATATACACACATATGCATACACATATTTTTTTCTGAACATACATGATGCCTCGTTACTCCTAAATACTTCAGGGGTTTTTTTTCCTAAAAGACAGATTAGAACCATCAAAATTAGCAATTCATAGATCCTATCCAAGTTTCCCAATAATGTCATATATAACAAAAAACAAAACAAATCAAAAATACCTTTTTTTCTAGTCCAGGAGCACATTGCATTTAATTTTCATGTCTTTTTAGGTTTCTTTAGTCTGGAACAGTTCTTCTGTCTTTCTTTGTCATTTGTGACCTTGGCATTTTTGAAGAGTACAAGGCAATTATATTGGAGAATGTTACTCAATTTGGATTTGTGTGAATTTTCTCATGATTAGATTTATAATAAACATTTAGGGCAGGAACATCATAGAAGTGATTCTTTGTTCTTATCGGAGTGTCATCAGAAGTCACATGATGTTGATTTGTCCTATTACTGGTGAGGTGAGCTTTGATCACTTCATCAGGGTGTGGTATGCCAGATTTCTTCATTGTAAAGTTACTATTTTTAACTCTCATTAATAAGCAACTTATGGGGAGATGCTTTGAAACTATGTAAGCATTCTGTTCTTCAACAACCTTTAACCCATTAATTTTCACATCTATCAATGGTTGTTGCCCGAATCAGTTATTGTGATAATTGCTAAATGGTGATTTGCCGACTCCGTCAGTCCTACGTTTATTAGTATTCTACTGTAAGGAAGTGCTTTCCTTTCACATTTATTTAGTTCATTCTACATCTATTTATATCAGTATGAACTAATGCATTCCTATTTTATTCCATGAGTTACAATATAATACTGACATTATTTATTTTGATGCTTACATTGTCCCAGATTTGGCCATTGGAAACCCCTTTAAGCTGATTCTGTGTTCTTCTGACGAGTCCCGTCATTTTTTAGCACTTTCTTACTTTCTGTTACAACAAGCTGTTCCAGGCTCACCTTATACTTTTTCTACCCCAGCCCTGGAATCAGCCATATTCTTCAAAGAACTGTGGTACTGTTTAGAGGAGAATAACATTTAGAAACAAAGATCTGGGAGCAAAGTATGCATATTGCTCTAGCCAGCGGTTCTCAACCTTTCACAGGGGTCGCCTAAGACCATCGGAAAACACATTTTTTCATTGGTCTTAGGAACCGAGACACCGCTCCTCTATCCGTCTCCAGGCCCACATGAAGATACACCCACATACGAGTACCCGGTGACCCCTGTGAAAGGGTTGTTCGACCCCCAAAAGAGTCGCGACCCACAGGTTGAGAACCGCTGCTCTAGGCCAAGGGTTGGCAAACTTTTGAGACGGAAAAGCCGCCAGGGGTCAGCAAACTGGCCTGCGAGCAACATGCGGCTCTTTGGGTATGTACATGTGGCTCTGAAGTAAAATTGAAAATGAAAATAAAACTGATAGTTTAACTTATAAAATTTTTAAAGGATATTATTCACATAATGGTGATTATGTAAAAATATAGTTATGGCTCTCATAATTTTTAAATTGTTGTGAGGGACAGGATTGGCTCTTCCAGGGGTTGGCAAACTTTTGAGACAGAACATACCCAAAGAGCCGCATGTGGCTCGCGAGCCTCAGTTTGCCAACCCCTGTATCTAGGGTATTATTACTTCTAGGCTTTCTCAGTGTATATGCACACACCCATACATACACATGTCTGTCTCCCTCCCTCCCTCCCTCTCTCTCTCTCTCTCTCTCTCTCTCTCTCTCTCTCTCTCTCTCTCTCCCATATCTTCTTTTAAAAACCATGAGCTCACACTAATACCTCCAATTCTAAATCAAAAGACCACAGAGTTCATTTTAGCCTTTTTTATTTTCCATATTTGTAACTCCCTTCTCTGACAGAGATAATACTGGTGTTCATTATCTTTTTTATTATTATTAGTTTCAGGTGTACAAAACATGTTGATAGACATTTACACACCTCATAAAGTGATGAGTCCAACAAATTTAGTACCCATCTAACACCATACATAGCTATCACAATATCATTGACTATATACCCTACACTGTACTGGTGTTCATTATCTTCAATAAGTTGTCTCTTATTTTCTCATTTCAAAGAGTGTAGAGGGGTAGGCTTGGAGCCAAGAAGCAATCAATGAACAACCAGCACAGCAATTATAGAAGCTCTGTTTTAAAGCAATCTATTATATTGATAAATGTAGACTCTGAAATACTACACTATAGATAACAGAACATTTGAATGCCTAACTTGATAGATTTGATGTACATACAAACTCAATTTCTAAATTATTCTAA